GCGCGTCCTGCTTTACTCTCATCTGGTTTCTCTCAGCTCCTCAGCCTCTATCATTCTTACCAATCATCTACCTTCTCCCTCTTCCTACTTTTGCTAAGCCAATATTCTACCTTACTCCCTTTCCTGACCGGCATATATCTACCACCTTCACCTTCTTCCTCTACATCGCCTTCATCATTGTTGCCTTCTCTATACCAACTCTTCCACTATTTCTCATCATTCTACTTCTTTTCAGATGTCATAGAAAATTGACAATCATTGTCTCATCCAAATTTCTACGTTTACTTAGCTATCGAATTCTCTCATTGCTTAAATAGTGATAAATATGATATATATGGATATTATGTGCATTCATATTGAAAAATATGAAAAAGAGCATATATCGTGAACTCATTTTGTTATCCGAAGATGGTGGCGCTGCGCGGTGTAAGGAACAAAACAGCGAGCATCGTTTACATGTGTATCATTCGAGTATACGTGGTTAATAAATAATTTATAATGCATGCTTTGTGAGCTAGTGGTTAGGTACTTTTCGATTTATCTTGAATGTTTTTGCTGCCCCTCTGGTATAATGATATGCCGCTCTCATCATCAGAAAGAACAATATTATCTCGATACTGAGGACCTCCAAAACTATGCTGATACAATTATTATATATTATTGCGTTCCAGAGTCGCGTACAAGGATCAGAGACGACATGGGTTCAATAAAAGACCAATGTCATTATGGCGGGCCCTACTATGACAAATATTATTGATTGGAAATTGAGTTATATTGTGCGTTCTACTCGCAACTGCCTCTCTCCGACAGTCACAGTCGCTTATATTTTACCTCATCACGTCGTGACGGATACAATAATGTCTCCCAGATCGCATTCCTTTCTCGAAGCTCACCAATCGCTTCTCTGTTGGGTGTTGCTATCCCACGGGCGTGGAGGGAGGTCACGTGATAACGTTGACGATGACGTTCAAAACGTTAACCCTAACGGTAACCCTCACTCCAACACCGCCAACACTAACACTCACACTAAATATATATGTGTCGCCGCGCTATATATAGGCATTGTGATCCACAAAAATTGATCTATGGTGTGGGGACAGATATCATGATGCAAAAACCCTAACCCTAACCCTAATCCTAATCCCAACACTAGTGCTGCCACATTGCGGTCACCTCCCTCCACGCCCGTGGGATAGCATTACCCTTCTCGGTTTACCTCCGTCATACCACATGTGATTCTTCCCGATTGGACCACTCCGCCCCTCTCTGTTGACACGCCCCTTTCTTTCCTGCTTACTCTCTCACAACCGCCAGCTCGTCCTACCGTTCACATCTCCCCCCGCCAAATATCACTCCCTAAACTAATGTATACGCATACAATTGCTACACTAAATATCACTCATGCTCGATATTACACACTCGCACCGCGCGGTGTGTATCACCGCCGCACCATCGCACCTCGCAACATACACCGCTGCGCCGCGGCCGCGCACGCGCGGTGCATATCACCGCCGCACCGCAGGCGGACCGCCGCGCGCTCGGTATATCTCACCATAGATATATACAACACATCAGGAGTCTATCAATATCGATATTGATAGACTCCTGAACACATGTTGTATAATATCAGGAGTGTATCAAAATTACAAAATTTTGATACACTCCTGATAATATCAAGAGCAGATAAAGAAGCCTTCTTTATCTGCTCTTGATAATATCTATGATCTCACCGCCGCGCTCTCGCGCGGTATATATCACCGCCGCGCCGCATACCACAGCTGCGCGCGCGGTGCATACGCGTTCATGACTTGCTGCGGCGCTGTATCTATCCTCGTGAGAGAGAGAGAGAGAGAGAGAGAGAGAGAGAGAGAGAGAGAGAGAGAGAGAGAGAGAGAGAGAGAGAGAGAGAGAGAGAGAGTGGGACTGGCTGGGACACAGACACATATATATATAAATATATTGTAGCGTTTTCGCCGGCTCCAGTTATGTCTCCTTTTCCTGTCGTACCCTTCACACGGGTTGATAGGGCCCGCGCGTGCGTTGTGTTGTCCTAATCCTCCTTCGTCGTCTACACCCGACGTCAGCTCGTAAAGGAAAAGCTTGCAGAAGACGTAAAGTTATTACGGGTTGACACCCAGACGCACCAATTTTCCAATACACACCCAGGCAGCGAACCAATGCGCGGATACACGTACACTAAGCGCGGCACCACCGTTACTCACCCTCTCTCTCTCTCTCTCTCTCTCTCCTGTTTCACCCCTAACTCCGCTGTTCAACCGCTGGCGTCTACACTCTTTGCTCGACTCCGACTGCTAACTCGCCTTCTCCGACAGTCAACTGGCAACTCGCAACTGTTTCACTCCCACGCGCGCGTTTTCTCTCTCTCTCTCTCCCTACTCGCAACTGTTTCACTCCCACGCGCGCGTTTTCTCTCTCTCTCTCTCCGACAGTCACAGTCGCTTATATTTTACCTCATCACGTGACGTCGTGACGGATACAATAATGTCCCCCAGATCGCATTCCTTTCTCGAAGCTCACCAATCGCTTCTCTGTTTACCTTCGTCATACCACACGTGATTCTTCCCGATTGGACCACTCCGCCCCTCTCTGTTGACACGCCCCTTTCTTTCCAACTTACTATCTCACAACCGCCAGCTCGTCCTACCGTTCACATCTACCCCGCCCCACCGCTGCGCCGCCGCACCGCCGCGCGCTCGCGGGCGCGCCCGCGGTATATATCACCGCCGCACAGGCGGACCGCCGCGCGCTCGGTATATCTCACCATAGATATATACAAGACATCAAGAGCTAATAATAAGGTATTATTAGCTCTTGAACACATCAGGAGTAATATCCATATTGATAGACTCCTGAACACATGTTGTATATATCTATGATCTCACCGCCGCGCGCTCGCGCGGTATATATCACCGCCGCGCCGCATACCACCGCTGCGCGCGAGGTGCATACGCGTTAATGACTTGCTGCGGCGCTGATCTATCCTCGCGCCTCATAGTCGCTGTTACAATATATATAATATATATA